ACAAGTAACTATTAGTATAAAGTTAAGTTGAACATGCAATCTTTATTTAATAGCAACAAACTGTACAGTAGCTCCAAAAAGCCATATGTATTGGAGAAGCCATCCTGCAAAAAAGAATTCCAGATTTTTTTAGTTAATAAAAAAAAAAAAAAGTGAAGATAAGAAATAACAATATGCTGGTGCAAAAAAGGGAAACAGAGATCAATAAATGACTTGAAAAGATTTGTTGTTAGGTGTCATCAAGTCAGTTCCAATTCACAGAGACTCTCTGAACAACAAAATGAAACTTTGTCATCCTCACCATTGTTGCTGTGTGAGCCCACTGTTTCAGCCACTGTGCCAGTCCGTTTCGTTGAGAGGCTTCCTCTTTTTCACTGACCCTCTACTTTACCAAGCATGATATCCTTCTTCAGGGACTGATCCCTCCTGATAATCCATCCAAAGCACATGAGACAAAGTCTTGCCATCCTTGCTTCTAAGGAGCATTCTGGCTGCACTTCCACAACAGATATGGTTCATTCTTCTGGCAGTCCATGGTATATTTAATATTCTTTGCCAACATCATAATTCAAAGTCATCAATTCTTCTTTGGTCTTCCTTATTCACTGCCCAGCTTTTGCATGCACATGAGGCTACTGAAAACACCATAGCTTAGGTCAGGTGCACCTTAGTGATATCTTAGAAGAGGTCTTTTGCAGATTTGCCCAGTGTATTATGTCATACAAAAACTGATAGACTGTTATAGGCTTAGTTGCACATTATATCAAGGTACAAAAAAATCTTTTTGTACAGTGTGAGTCAACAAACCAATTTTGCTCTCCACTGAGCCAAATTAAAAACCCTCTAAACTAGTATTTAGTAATTTAACTTAATAAAATAATCAAGTGAGTCAAACCACAACTTGTGGCACATTTGTCATTGCAAAGACACGATATTTCATGAAAGCTGAGTTATATGTCATTTTGGAAAGGTAGCTCCAAAGATACCAATAAGGAATGTATATACACCTACTCCTCACTTCCTCACTTATTATCTCATTATCTGACATTTCACAATTATGACAACAGTAAAAAAAAAAATCTACTATTTTGACTTTTTGCACACTGCAAAAAGGACATGGAGGTGACCCCTTCTTCTGACCTCCTCCAACCTCACAAGGGGGAAACAGAATCACCATCAACAGCCTAAGGCTTATTCCTATGAGGCCAGACATGCCATCATCCTCCAGCCTTTTTACCAACTCTGACACAAGGCATCCCTCCCACAGCACTCGTAACTTCTCTCCTGGGTTCGATAATTTCATAGCAAAGGCCACCCAAAACTCATAGACAACACTCATGATTATGGGGTTTATTAGAGAAGTAACAGGTTACAATTTAAGTTCAGGAATGCTCTCAGGAGATAATTCTTTAATCAGGACAGCCTCACCTTCATCACGCCCTCAGGCATACCTCTCTGGCCCTTGGCTTCTTGGCCTGGCCTCTGCCCAGCTCAGGCAAGTGTTACAAAGTTCTTTTAGCTCTGCCGATAGATGCACCTGGGTGTACCCTACTCTGCTAGCAAGTCTCCTGCCCAAAAGCACTCAGCTTTCTTGCTCCATGGGCTGGTAAGCCTGCCACTCTGTCTCGTGCCTTTTGTTTCTGCTGCCACTGTGCCTCAGCCAGCTGTCTCAGCCAGTCGTTTCTGCCAAGGAGGTCCAGCGCAGGGATTTCAGGTAAAAGGACACAATCCATTCCACCTTCAGCTTTTCTCTTGATGGCAGTGAAATGCCCCCTTCTGCCTCTAGAGGGGCTCATTTTAAACCTAGCAGAATGACAAAACTAACCAATCCCCCAATTGGAATTCTATGCACCTTATTTGCATGGTCCCACTCTGACAAGGGTGCCATGCTCTTTATTTACATTACTTACAAGCTAGCCAATCCCCTTATATTTGCATAGTTCCACCCAGTCATCTGGTGGGAGTCACAAAGACCATGGCTAAAAGACCTGTACCAAGTAATTCACTGCACCACACATATTAACAATGTATGTCTGGCAGTAAGGAATGATGAGATGCATGGCAAGAGTACAATGTTAATGTTATGTGTCAATGTGGCTGGGCCATGATTCTCAGTGGTTCGGCAGTTATGTAATGATATCATTTGGCAGTTATCTTCCATTTTGTGATCTGATGGGGTCATCCTCCATTTTCCCACAATGGTGATTTTCACATAATGACCTGGTCTTTGGAACCTAATAATGTTAGTAAGTGAGGAGTAAATGTATTCTGTGAAAAAATTTGTAGACTAACATTTTGTAGATTTTTCAGAGAATGCCCTTCTGAGCAATATTTAAACTCAAGAAACCAATCTATCATGGAAGTATTTATCAAATGCCACTTACTTGAGTACCTATCATGTACCAGGCACTGTTACAGGTATGAAGAATATTGTGGTGAACAAGACATAAGTTTCCACTGTAATAGAGATTACACATTCAAAGAAAAAAGACAACAGACAGATATATTTATATAATAAAATTTCAAGTAGCAATGAGTACAATGAAGAAAAAATAAAGCAAAGTAATGAAGGAAAGTGAAGGAGGAAGAGGCTATTTCAGATAATTCAATAACTGTTAAGAAGTAACTGGAATAAGACTAAATTTAGTAGTCTAAAATGTACCAAAACAAAACATCTATTTAAAAAAACGTTTACTACCCAGAAAGCTGAAATGATTTTCGAGGAAAAGAAGTGTCACATTTACCTGTTTCTTACCAAGTGAAAGCTTTCCAAAGCATGCACAAATGGTATTTTTTATTAGACAAATTCTATCACTTTTTTTTGGCCTTCCATAAAAGATTGTTTAAAATGACATGCTGAACAAAAGTTATCAAAGCAATCCAATAACATAAAGCACTTAAGAAATGTCAGACATTGAGCTATTATCTGAGGCAATCTCTCACTACTATTCTAGGAGGTAGGTGCTATTATTATCCTTACTTTGCAGATGAAAAAAGTTAAGGTTTAAGATGGTTAGGCACTTTACCCTAAATCACTGTTAATAAATCATAAACCCAGGGTTTAAATCAGGCCTGTTTAATCTCAAAACCTGTGCTTTTAACCAGTATATCACACTGGTAAGTAATTATTTCAAATAAAGGTACTGTGTGAGAATATCTAACCCAGCTCTTCCTGCCATCCAATGGTTAACCTACAAATCACAGACACATTAACACACACACATTTTGAAATGTAATACAAGACTGGCAATTATATCTATCCTATTCTCTACTCTGTAGTGAGTAACCTTTCTAAGGTAGAAGTCTGATTCATCAACTCTTCTATTTTAAAACCCTCCAGACTTTGCCACTGAATCAAGGATAAAATACAAACTCTTTAATAAGGTTTCCAAGGTTCTGGATATCATTCTTCTCTTCACATTCAATATTCACACACACACACACACACACACACACACACCTCCCCATCATAATACAAATGGCCAGCACATAATAAAACCAAAAAAACCAAACTCACTGCCACTGAGTCAATTCCAACTCACAGTGACCCCCTTTGGGTTTCCAAAAGGGAGCTTTCCTTTGGGAGCTCTGGTGGTGTAGTGCCTAAGGCATCTGACTGCTAACCAGAAGGCTGGCAGTTCAAACCCACTATCAAAGTCACTGATACTGCTTTGGAAACTCAAGGAGGGATCCAAGTCAATGGCAGTGAGCTTGGTTTTGGTTTTGGTTTTGGGTTTCCAGGGCAGTAAATCTTTATGGAAGTAGATTGCCCAGTCTTCCTTCCATGGAGTGGCTGGGGGGTTTGAACCGCCAACCTTCTGGTTAGCAGTCAAATGCCTTAGGTACTATGCCACCAGAGCTCCTGTTCTGCACATAATACATTTATTTAATAAATATTTATAAATTACTAAGTCCCAAACTAGCAAAGCCACACCAAATCCTTAAGAAAAATTTCTGAAAATTATTTTCATAGCTACAGGAAAGTAGAAAGAAAATTACTTTTAGATAATCAATTAAAATAATTTTCAGATAATCAGATGTCTACACAAAATAAATAATGTTATTAATAACAGCAACAGTAACTAATGTGTATTAAGATCTATATGCCAAGCACTGGTGCTATGTCTTTTACATATCTTATGTTTACCAAGCCTTGGAACCACCATAAAGGAGTTACTAAAATTTTTTCCATTTTACACATGAGGAAACAGGATTAAAGGTTAGTAACCTACTAAATAGGAGTCTGGTAGCACAGTGCCTAAGGCACTTGACTGCTAACCAGAAAGCTGGTGGTTCAAACCCACCAGTCACTCTTCGGAAGGAAGGTTGGGCAATCTACTTCCGTAGTGATACTACCTCAGCAACCCAAGGAGGGGTCGACTCGATGGCACATAACAACAATAACAACCTACACAATATCATATAGCAAATAAGTGTCAAATATGAGTCTCAAACCCAGAACCCTCTGATCTCAAAGTTCATACTGTAGATCTTATTTTAGAATGCCTCTGCATTGGTGTCAAAGAAACACAGACACACTAAGCAATCCTTTGACTACTCTACAAATGACACTAACTAGGGGACAAGAGAAAAAGATACCTCCTTCTTTTTTGATAGAGATAAAAGAAGAAGAACATAATTTTAGAATATACTTCCAAATAATAATTATCTCATAAAATTTTTATGGAATCCTGATAGGCTAATAGTAGGAAGGCATAGCTTAAAACTATACTATACCAGATGGCAGAGAAAAGGTAAAATGCTGTGGTTATTCAGTTAGGTCCAATCCTTAGGCATTACGTATCATTTGAAGATCCTTGGTTACTGAAAAGTACTCATGTGAAAGAAATATAAATTATACAACTCTATCACTGGCTGCTTGCTTTTTCCTATAGTGTAATCATGAAGTCAGTAACTACTTTCACAACCTAGCTAAACAGCAGAATGCCAGGAGTAACCATCTTAGAGTCTTAGGAAGAAGGGAATAAAATTGCATGTACCTGATCTACGAGTCGCTTTATTAGGGGTAGTCCTTCTAGTGCTGAACTGTCACATCCACTGGTCAATACTCGTTCAAATCCTAAGGTTAAGAGTGTCTCTAGAGCTGCCACTGGATCACGAACCATGTCAAAAGCTGAAATAAAATTAATTTGAATTTTGAACAGATACCTTGTAATGCAGCGTTTTCTAAAATATAATATACATACAGTGGTGTGCTAGATCTAGTTTACACTCGCACAAAAGAGACAAATGTGAAATATCCAGAAACTTTGCAAGCCAGGTTGTTAATCAACTGGTAGCTTGAAATCAGTCACGGTGGAATATTTACACCACAGAAATCAGCAAATATCACAAATCAGAATTCTTTTTCCAAGAGCCAGTTTACCAGCACACCACAGTCTGCAAACCATTTTACACATGATCATTTCAGATGGTATACATTTTAACAGATGTATTTACTTTAATGCAGATTAGAAATTAAAAAATTCCAATTTGCAGTAGTTTTAAGTTTTTCTTTAAAAAACAAACTCACCTAAGATTTTATTTAAATAAAATTAAATAAACTAACATAGGTACCACTCATGTATGGTATAACTATATATATATATATGATATGTAAATGACTCAAATTTTGGAAACTTTGCTCTAAGCCTTCAGGCAAAGCAGACTAAATAGAATGAAATACTACCCTTACTAGACCTAGAAAGGGCCCTTGGTTCACATTCTCATTATTGACTAACATTTTATACTAATTCTTCATATTCAAGGCTCATAGTATAAGGACAATTGCTTATATTTGTCTCTATGAAGTTTCAATTCCATCCTACTTTCTAAGAGACGCCTCTCCTCCCTAGAATCATCAGAGAGGAAAGTGGCACAGGAACCCCAAAGCAGCAAAAACCACTTCTGTTGTGGGTCTCAGAACTGGTACCTGACATATACGTTCTAATTGATGGCTAGACTGGGTAGGTGCTAGCGTCCTGGGATAGACCCTTTCCTTTCACCCTTTACTGCATCCAGGCAGCTAAATCTACTTCAGAGGATTTTCCTTTTTTGGATGGCAACACCTTCTTATCAATCATTACACTACCATATTCTCATAAGAGAAAAAAAAAAAGTAGAACCCCAGATAATGTTAAATTGCTACAAATTTCTAAAACATTAAAATATTTTTGTTAAACTTACTGGAAGAACAGAAATTTGAAGCCATTTTCTTAGTTTAATAAAAGAAAAATATATTCTGTATGATTAGTTTAATTTTTTAATTATTTAGCATGCTAAAATTTAAACTACACATGTTTTAGATGAATATTTAATGAATTATTTTCATGTTTAAAAACTTTTTGTGGTGAGGAGGGGCTAGGAATGGCACCTTAAGGTGTTGACTTTTAAGCAATTTAACATATTTTAGTAATTGATGGATTTAAATAGTAAGTCAAAGAAAAGTTTTCTGGTAGTGCCATCCATCACATCAAGAAACAAGAGTAACAAAAATCTTTATCTCTAGTATCCCTTGTTGTTGTTGTTGTTATGTGCCGTCGAGTTGGACCCGATTCATAGCGACCCCCCTTTGGGTTTCCAAGGCAGTATCACTAGGGAAGTAGATTGCCCAACCTTCCTTCCCAGGAGTGGTTGGTGGGTTGGAACCATCAGCCCTAGTATCAATTAATGTATGCAAATGCTTATCCTAATCTTTGAATGTTTATTCAAACCAAGAGAAAAACATTCAACACTTTCTCAAGCATATCATGAAGCCAAAAAGGTAAACTGACTAAACACTTCTTTTCATGTGCAATGGTAATGCCCTCCAGAGGCAAAATTAACTCGTGCCTCCTTTCCTCCGTCTTACCAATGCTTGGCCTATGAATATTTTAACTACCTGATTTGCAGATAGGAAGTATCTTTTTTATGTGAAACTATCAGATAGTTTTTAGAAACATTCTGATGCAGAGTCCAAAAAATCCACTGCTATCAGTCCAGTCAAATCTGACTCATAGTGACCCTCTGGGACAGAGCAGAATTGCCCGATAGGGTTTCCAAAGCTGTAAATCTTTATAGAGCAGACTGCCTCATCTTTCTCCCACAGACTGGCTGATGGGTTCAAACTGCTGATCTTTTAGTTAGCAGCTGAATGCTTTTTTATTTTATTTTTTTTAATTTTTATTGTGATTTGGGTGAAAGTTTATAGAACAAATTCATTTTCCATATAGCAGCTCACATACACTTTCTCATGACATTGACTGCAATTCCCCACAGTGCAACAGCTCCCCTCCCACTTCTTCCCCATAGTTACCTCTTCCCTGTGTCCATCCCTCCATGCACTCCTGCCCCGTGAGCTGTCTCCCTGTGTATCAACAGCCCTTCTATTCTCCCATGGTCGATTTAAAGAGTGTATCTACCTAATGTAAATGTTCAGCTCATATGTCTGTCTTTTGTTTGGCTGGAAGCCATAGGAGTGGGTTCATTTCCAGACCTGAAGGGCAGCTAGGGGCCATAGCTTCATCAGGCTCTATCAGACCAGCAAACCTGGACCCCTCCTTTTTTTTTGATTTTCAATTTTGTTCCACGTTGTTCTCCCTCTCTATCCAGGATCTCCTACATAGATCCCCTTCCAAGTGGCTGACAGTGGCAGCCAGGCACCATCTACTTCTTGTGGTCTCACAGTGATACAGGCTGAGGTTCACATGGTGTACCAGTCCCTTGGACTAATTGTTTCCATGTATCTTTGGTTTTCTTCATTCTTCTTTGCTCTAGACAAATAGAGACTCATCGTTGCATCTAGATGGCCACTTGCAAGCTTTTAAGATCCCAGTTGATTAGTTAGCACTTGTTTTGGTCCTCTAGTGCTACACTAACAGAAAATACCATAAATGGGTGACTTTAACAAATAGCAGTTTATTCTCTTACAGTTTTGGAGGCTAGAAGTCCAAGTTCAAAGTGCCAGCTCTAGGGGCTGGGTGAAAGCCCCTGGATCTTGGGCTTAGCTCTGACTCTTGCTCCCTGTCCACTGCAACTGGAGGCATCTCTTCAGTCAGGCAGCTGCTAACTGCTGAGGCTGGTAAATCCAAGGTCAACAGTAAAAAGGCACCGTCCCAAGATTACCAAACAACACGGCAGGCCACTAGTTCAAGTCCAGAGACAGCCCAAGACTGGCAGGAAATATTACAGGCTGCTGAATGAAGACTCAGCTGCATGCAGGGTCCATGCATGCCCAAAATCTGCAGGCCATACCCTAAGCTTCTCCTTATATACTGGAAGCAGACCACATCCCTAAAGCAGCCATTCAGCTGCTCATGGCAGATTCCACCCCGGCACTGACTGCCAGTGTCATCATGGGGAATAACTATAACCAGCTGCCCAACCACTCAAAACCAGGCCCAGCCAAGGTGACATATAACCTTAATGACCACAGCACTGCATCACTAGAGCTCCTTGATGCAAACCAAAAAAAAACCAAACCTACCGCCATCAAGTCGATTCTGACCCACAGTGACCCCATTGGGTTTCCGAGGCAGTAAATCTTTACGGAAGTAGATTGCCTGGTCTTCCTTCTGCGGAGTAGCTGGTAGGTTTGAACCCCCAACCTTCTGGCTAGCAGTCAAATGCCTTAGGCTCTGCGGCACCAGAGCTCCAATGATGCAAAGTAGCTATTAATAACGGAAAGGAATTTTGTACATTATAGTGGACATCTGTTTATTATCTATCTAGTATCTATTTCTTCTTTCCTCCTTCTTAATAGTATCCAATTCTTCAGGTATTTCAGGCAGCCTGTAATCATCTGGGAAAGCTGACCTTACTCCTAGCTCTACGAATGATTGCCTAGCTTAAATTAGCCAGCACATTCCATTCTGCTGGTCACAGAGATTTATTCCTTTTGGGGTTGCCGAAGGCAATCTAAAGGAACTCTGATGGTGTAGTGGTTAAGGCATTTAGCTACTAACCAAAAATTCAGTGATTCAAACCTACCAGCTGCTCTGCAGAAGAAAGATAGGGCAATCTACTTCTGTAAAAATTTACAGCCTTGGAAACCCAACGGGGGCTGTTATGAGTCGGAATCAATTCGATGGCAGTGAGTTTGGTTTGAGTGTTTTTTAAGGCAATCTAAGGTAAGCACCTGTGGATATGCTTCCTCTATTATATCCTCCCCTGCAACATCTAGTTTTAACAATTTTTCATAACTAAGACCAAATCAAATCCACTGCCTTTGAGTTGATTCCAACTCACAGGGTTTCCAAAGCTGTAAATCTTTACAGAAGTAGACTGGCTTATCTTTCTTTTGTGGAGTGGCTGGTGGGTTTGAACCGCTGACATTTTAGTTAACAGCCAAATTCATAACTAAGGTCTCAAAATTTCTAGAAATTATTGTTGTTGTTGTTGTTATGTGCCGTCGAGTCGGACCCGACTCATAGTGACCCCTCCTTGGGTTTCCGAGGCAGTATCACTACGGAAGTAGATTGCCCCATCTTCCTTCCAAGGAGTGGCTGGTGGGTTTGAACCGCCAGCCTTCTGGTTAGCAGTCAAGTGCCTTAGCCACTATGCTACCAGAGCGCCCATCTCTAAATTAAATATTTAGTCCCAAGGTCATTATAAAGAAAACCACCAGTAACACTATAGAGCTACAGAACTGTGTTCCATAAAATGTTGTGACGTTTTGAAAAACTAAAAACAGACACTGTTCCACAGAACTTCTAAGATAGAAATGACTCACCTCGGTGGAAAGTGACTGGCAGAGGACGGCAAATAGCTATTAAAAGAAAGTTATAGAACAGCATGAATGAAGAGATTATCACTGATAATTATATACAGAATTCTTCACACTAGATGGGACTTTTTTTAAAATAGTTTCTTCTCCTAAGAAGTGAAGAAAGTGAACTAAAATAATAATAAAATGGTAGTCTTATAAATTCAAAAGTCCTATCTTTCAACTAATCCCTGATTTCTAGGTTAAAAAAACTAGTTATCCACTCCTTAGAGGCATCTAATAAAAATTAAATGATCTGACAACTATGAGTATAGCATTACATTAAAGCTATTATTTACACCTCTGAGAATCTTCAAGAAATATTTTGGTAGTTTGCTTCTGTCCTCTCCACATCTCCTCACCTTCACCAACTGTAATACCCTTTGAAGTTTTTGGTGTAGCAGTTAAAGGAATCAAGGTAAACCTCCATTAGACCCTACAGGAACAGTAGCAGAACCCGAACTACAGAAACTCAGGAGAGTTTGGAGGGCTATACCACATACCCTCCACCCCAAACATCTAAGTCACTACTGTTTAAAATGGCTAGGCTAGTATAAGGGCCTGCAGGTATAACTGAAAAGTCAGTATTGTGATACATTTTCCCATAACTGGGTCTATAAATTCAATCATCATTAGGGGCTCTTTGGTCTCAAATACAAAATCCTTACCCACAAGGGACATGCACAGCTCTTTGTCAATGTGTCCATCTTCAGTCAAAGCCCCAAATACCAAACCATCAGCACCATACAGCTTGGCAAGACGAATGTCAGTCTTCATCACCTCAATTTCACGATCTGAATATAAAAAATCACCTCCTCGTGGCCGAATCATCACAAAGACAGGGATCTGGACACACTGCTTCACTACTTGAAGGACACCTATGAGAACAGAGAGCTGATGAATTAAAATTCAAATGTGAGCTAAAAGCTTAAGGAAGTCAATAAGATATTATTAGACTTTTAAATGTTTTTGTATATCACTTCCAAAAGAAAAGGAAGAAATGACTGAAGAAACCATAAGAAAGATGGAAAGGGACCACAATAGACGGTCCTGGATACAATGGGAGAAAAATGTGGAACAAAATTCAAAATAATGAAAAAGACCAGGCTTATTGGCCTGATGCAAGCCCCAAGACTATGGACCTTAGACACCCTTCAAACCTGTAACTGGACTCACCTCTGTGGCTCAACTTTCAGCCAAATGACAGGCCTATAAGGTAAACAAAAATACCAGGGAGGTATGCATTCCTTAGAACAAGCAACCATACACAATCAAAGCGCAGCATCTGCCCAGGGATGAAGCTCAGAAAGCAGAAAGGGACAGCAAAGAAGGATGAAGTAAAATGGTAAACACAGGGAAGAAGTGGAGAGAGAGCCGTTATATTAGGGGGATTATAATCCATGTCACAAAATAAAATGTGTATGAATCGCTAAAAAGAAAACCTACTTAACTCTGTAAACTTTCACCCAAATCACAATTAAAAAAGGAAGAAAGAAAGAAAGATGGATCTAAAGGGAAGGAGGACACTAAGAAAAAAAAAATGTATATATGGTGAAAGTTAAGTAATAGGAACCAAACCAAAAATCCGCAGGCCATTGAGTCAATTCCAATTCCTAACAACACTGTAAGACAGAATAGAATTACCTCATAAGGTTTCCAAGGCTGTAAATCTTTATGGAAGTAGACTGCCTCATCTTTCTCCCATGGAACAGCTGGTGGGTTCAAATTGCCAACCTCTTGGTTAGCAGCCAACTGGTTCAACCACACCACCAGAGCTCCTTAAGTAATAGGAAAGCCAATCGTAAAAAATTTGGAAAATAAAAGGGAAATAAATGGCATTTTGGAAATATTTATTAGTTGACTCAATAAAAACCTTTTGGCTCAAAACCCTTTGACTAGCATGTGACATATGGAAGCATAGTAACTCTCAGGCTCAATCTTCTGCCAGCGGATTCCTAAGATACAGTTTCTCCTTTTTAACTGATTATAGCTCTGTTTAAAACCTACTATAGACATGGTTGGAGCTTGAGAGGCACAGTGGTTAAAGCATTTGGCTGCTAATCAAAAGGTCGGCAGTTTGAACTCACCAACTGCTGAAAGATGAGGCGGTCTGCTTCCATAAAGATTTACAGCCTTGCCAACCTTATAGTGCAGTTCTTCTTTGTCCCATAGGGTCGCTATGAGTCAGAATCAACTCAATGGCAGTGGGTTTGGGTTCACAAAGATGGTTTGGAGAAGCCCTGATGATCCTACCAGCCACTCTGCAGAATAAAGAAGTGGTAGTCTGCTTTTGTAAAGATTTACAGCCTTGGATTGGTTGCTAACCTAAAGGTTGGTGGTTTGAACCCACACAGCCACTCTGTAGAAGAAAGGCCTGGCAATCCACTTCTGTAAAGATCAGAGCCATGAAAACCCTAAGGAGCAGTTCTACTATGTACACATGGGGTCAACCGTAAGGGGCAAATGACTCAATGAAAACAGGTTTGGTTTTAGATAGATGATTAAATTGTTTCAAATTTTATGACCCTCACTGGACAAAGATATTCAGCAAAGACTTTATTTTTTCTTGTTTTTTGAAAGAGCTATGTAAAAGGGAGCAAAGTTCTACTTATTTATTACTCTATATAGAAATCTATGAAAAAATTACCTATGACACAATTTGTGGCTAGCTCAGAAACTTTCAATAATTTAAGATCTGTGGCAAGCACTATTAGTTGTTTACCCAACATAAATTTCCTTCTTCTTCTCTGATAAAAGAACTCAAATATTGCATAAGGTAACCATAATACCAGCACCAAGCAATGCATCATGATTGGTACTGCAAAAAAAACAAACTGCATTATTCACAAATATGTTTTAGAGATTTTAGAACTGCCAACGAATGTCCTCCTTTACTGAGAAGGTTCCAGAAGGCTGCTGTATATATAACCCTTTATACCAAATAATCTCATCAAGAAAAAGCTCTGGTGGTGTTAGCAGTTAAAGCATTCGGATGCCAACCAAAAGTTGGTGGTTCAAACCTACCAGCTGGTTCTGCAGGAGAAAGGTAAGGAAATTTGCTTCTGTAAAGATCTAAAGCCTTTGGAACCCAATGGGGCACTTTTACTCTGTCCTAAAGGGTCACTATGAGTTGAAATTGACTTGATGGCAGTGGGTTTTTTAAAATGTTATCAATCTCAGAGTAGCATATTTTAGGAATCAAAAGTTTATATAGGGACTTCAGCTTTTGGCCAAGACAGATAACAGAGACTAGATTTACCTTCCTGCCTATAATAACCAAGAAAGGGACAAAACGTATGAAACAATGGTTTGCAAGATACTGGACATTACAAAACCAAGGACAGTGATTCTTGAAAGATGGGAAACAAATGAGGTGAGCCCTATGACTGACTCAGATTATAGTCTAGAGAGTTTCTAGGACATAGAGCAGGGAGAAGGAACCCAGGTGGAGCCCAAAGAATTCTCTGAGTTGAGGAGATAGAGCTGAGATTCCAGGGAGACCAAGGTGGTTAGAGTTTTTCTGTAGGAGAGAATATAGAGAAGGAGAGAAAGAGAACTCTAGAGATCTGCAAAAAGCCTCCCTCGAATATTCCGCTAAGTACTGATGAGCAAATGCATGCAGCTTAACTACACAAAGCCAGGAAAAGAAGTACTGAAGAGGATTGTAATAGTTTCTGACAGTCACAATGGGCTGGGAATAACGCTTGTTTCATGTCAGTGAGACAGGAAAACCTCAACAAGATTCATGGGACACTGGGCAGAGTACACAGAAGACTCTTGCCTCAGTGGTGGGAAATAACTAGCTCTAGACTGAGCATTGTTCCAAACCTGCCTAACAAACCTTAAAAGCAAGACCTAAAAGGACCAAACTATTTCCAACTAGTCTAACTACATCCCAGAATAAAGCTCAAGAGTATTTATAGGAAGACAAAAATATTTAGTACCCAAAAAAGTAGAATTCACAATCCCTAGTATAAAAAAATTACAGATAGGAAAATATGATACATCATGAGGCAATAAAGAAAGCAAAAAAACCCAACCCAGAATTCAAACAGATACTAGAATTAACAGAGAAGGCCATTAGAACAGCTACCATAGACTTCTGGTAAGATGGCGGAATAGGTAGACAAGCTCCACAGACCCTCTTCAACAAAGAAAAGAGAAACCAATTGACAGAGATACAGAAGATGTTCCTGTAGCCCTGAGCTTTGAAAGGAAGTACACAGAAGCGGATTAGGCACCAACTAGTGGAAAAACCTGAACGAACACAGTGAGTACGGAGATGGTTGGAGCAGTGGACTGTCAGCTGCTTTGACAGGACCAACAGCCTGAATATTTCCAAGTGGTGTTGGGACCTGAGAATTGACCTAAAGATCAGCCCTGGTCGCCAAGGGCTACAGGGACGACTGCACTGGTGGCCTATGACCAGGAAGGGAAACAGCAAGGAGGGAGACAACCTGAGCTGTGGACTTTCAGCTGTCCAGAGGGCACAGCCATTTTGATTGTTTACACGCAGTGGCCATTTTGGATATTTAAAGTGACTGAGCTGGGGAATGAAACTAAATGTACACGTTACATTGAATGTAAAACAAGCTCTTAAAATAAAAAAAAAAAAAGTGACTGACAGCACAGCCATTTTGAAGGTTTAAAAGTGGTAGCCATTTTGGATATTTAAAGTGACCAAGGACACAGCCATTTTTATTGTTTACAAGCACCGGCCATTTTGGATATTTAAAGTGACTGAGGGTATAGCCATTTTGAATGTTTACAAGTGTAAACATTCAACATTTTGGATTTTAAAGTGATAGCATTTCTCATTCAGATTCCAGGGACCTAAGAGTAGGCTCAATTTGCCAAGGACAGGAGGGACGTATGGGAGGCAGAAAACAGGAAAGGAGACAGGTGGTGAGTGTATAAGTGCTGCCAACTAGCAAATAGAGGAGCAAAGCATAGTACCCTGCTTACATAGATAACATACAAACAAAACAAAAGAAAATGAAAATTGCGGGCAAGCCACTCCAACATGTTGTTGCTGTTGTTATGTGCCGTTGAGTCAGACCTGACTCATAGTGACCCCCCTTGGGTTTCCGAGGCGGTATCACTACGGAAGTAGATTGCCCAACCTTCCTTCCAAGGAGTGGCTGGTGGGTTTGAACCACCAGTCTTCTGGTTAGCTGTCAAGTGCCTTAGGCACTACGCTATCAGAGCTCCTCAGTTCAACATACAAACACCAATTAAATATAAACACAAAAAGCCCCCAATGTCTTGGAGACAACAGAGCATCACAGCCCACACAGAGAAGCAAGATAAAGCAGGAGAAACAAGGGACCAGGATACAGACCCAAAGCACAGCCCTGAGGAATACACAGCACTGGAACTCCCTGATAAGGAATTCAAAAGAATTGTATTTAGGTACCTTCAGCAAATTGACAAGGAAAACACTGACAAAATGGAGGAAAACACAGAGAAAACCCTTGAACTGTTTCAAAAGACAATACAAGAACAAAATGACAAAATAAATGAAAAATGAGAAATGATAAGAAATCTACAGATAGAAGTCCAGAAGATTAATACTAAATAGGTAACTCATTGAATGAGTAAAGGAGTAGAACTGTATCAATGGAAGACAGAATTAGTGAGATTGAAGGCAAATACCTCAATACTTCTTTGGAAAGCCAACAAAATGAAGAAAGCCTAAGGTTCATGTGGGATACCATCAAAAGGAATAACTTACGTATCATTGGAATTCCAAAACAGGAAGAAAAAAATAAAACCACAGAGAAAATAGTCAAAGATTTGTTGGAAGAGAATTTTCCTGTTATGATGAAAGATAAGAAGATATCCATTCAAGAAGTCCAATGAACCCCAAGCAGGACGGACTCCAAAAGAAAATCACCAAGACATATCACCATAAAACTCACCAAAACCAAAGACAAAGAAATAATTCTAAAAGCCGCATGGGAAAAGCAAAAAGTTACCTACAAGGGACAACCAATAAGAATAAGCTCAGATTTCTTGGCAGAAACCGTGCAGGTGAGAAGACAATGGGATGGTATATATAAAACCCAGAAAGAGAAAAATTTCCAACCAAGAATTATATACCTGGCAAAACTGTCCCTCAAATATGATGGTGAAATTAGGACATTTCTAGATAAGCAGAAATTAAGGGAATTTGTTAAAACCAGACCAACCTTATAAGAAATGCTAAAGGAGGTCCCTTGGACAGAGAACCAACAAAAGCAAACAACAACTCACCATTAATACACATGATGACATAACCCAGAAACCAACCCAGTTATAGAAGTATCCAAAGGAAATAAGCCTACAACATTGTAAACAGGGAACCAGAGATATCAATTGACAAATGAAGACAACTACAAACCAAAAAGAAGGAAAAACTGTGTAGTTACAGAACTTCTAAATGGTAGGGAAGTCAAGACAACTACAAAATAGAATGGACTGTTCTAAATTTGGGAAGAAATCATAAATCACAGGGTAACCTCAAAGAAAAATGATAAACCTTTACATCAAAATAAAAAAGAGGACTAGTACAAATATTTAGCAAATACCAAAACAATAGCAAAGACAGATGGACAAATATAATATTAGTTCATTATTGTAAAAAGTCAAGGATATATGGAAAGAAACTTTCTTCGTTGGTTTCCAGGGGTGGGAGGGGAGGGAAGGAAACACTGAAGAAAAAAAAAATGCATTGACCCCATGTCACTTTAGTTTTGTGTATTTCACTGTACATAAATTATATTTCAATAAAATGCATTTTTAAAAAATAATAAAACAGCTACTATGACTTCATTCTGTATGTTCAAAAAGTTAAGAAGAGACATGGGAGATACATACATATATTAAAAAAAGATTAAAATAAAACTTTTAGAGATGAATACTATAATGAGTGAGATGAAAAGATACTAGATGGCATTCACAGCACATTAGATGTTGCAGAATAACAGATTGTTGTTGTTGTTGTGTGCTGTGAAGTCGGACCTGACTCATAGCGACCCCTCCTTGGGTTTCCGAGGCAGTATCACTACGGAAGTAGATTGCCCCATCTTCCTTTCGAGGAGTGACTGGTGGGTTTGAACCATCACCGTTCTGGTCAGCAGTCAAATGCCTTAGGCACTACGCTAGCAGAGCTCCAGAATAACAGATGAGTAAACCTGAAATACATAGCAAAGACTATCCAAAATGAAACACAAAGAAGGAACATTTAAAAATAAATAAATAAAGCAGCACATCAGTACACTGTGAGGCAACTTTAAGCAGCCTAATATAAATGAAGTCTCTGAAGGAAGAGGAGAGTGACAGAAAAAAATATTTGAACATTGAAAAGTTTCCAACTTTGATGAAAAATAAAAATGCACAGATCCAAAGAATATGAGGAAAGCCATATCCAGGTACATCAAAATAACATTGCTCACAGGAACTCTTACTCATCGCTAGTGGGAATGCAAAACAATACAGCTTCTTTGGAAGACAGCCTGGCAGTTTCTTACAAAGCTAAACGTATGCTCACCATTTGATCAGCAATTGCACTCATAGGTACTTACCCAAATGAGATTAAGATGTATGTTTACATAAAAACCTGCACATGGATGGTTATAGCAGCTTTATTCGTAATTGCCAAAAATTGGAAGAAACCAAGATATCCTCCAATAGGTGAATGGATAAATTGTGGTATATCCAAATAACAGAATATTCCCATAATAAAAAGAAATGAGCTATCAAGCCAGAAAAGACATGGAGGAACCTTAAATGCATTCTGCTAAATGAAAGAAACCAGTCAGAAAAAGCTACACACTATATGACATTCTGGAAAAGGCAAAACTACAGAGACAGTGAAAAGATCAGTGGTTGCCATGGGGCCAGGGGAAGGATGAGTAGGTAGAGCACAAAGCAATTTTTGGCCAGTGAAATTATTTTGTGATACAGTAATGGTAGATACATGATAGTAAGCATTTATCAAAACCCAGAGTGAAATCCATTGTAAACTATGGGTTTTAGTTAGTAATAATATATCAATATTGGTTCATCAATTTTAACAAATGTATCACAGGAATGCCACCCGTTAATAGGAGAAATAATGTGCACCGACAGGAGGGCATAAATGGGCATTCTCTGTATTTCCTGCACAGCATTTCTATAAACCTAAAGTGCTCTAAAAAGGAAGATATACATATACATACATATTATATATATATATATATATATATACCATTTAAAAAAAAGTAAAAATCACATTGCTCAAAATCAAGAAAAAAAGAAAATCTTAAAAGCAACCAGAGAAAAGAGATACATTATGTTGAGAAGAAAAAAGATAGGAATAGCAGATTTCTTCTTGAAAACAATACAAGCAAGAAAATATAGAAAACCATCTTTAAAATATAGAAAGAAAAAAAATAACTATCAACCGAGAATTCTACATTTAGCAAAAAATATCTTTGAAAAATGAAGGAGCAATAAAGATATTTTAGGACACACAAAAGCTGACAGAATTTATCACTAGCATACTTGCACTACAAACAATGCTAAAGGAAGTACTTGCTGCTCAGAGGGAAAATGAAACAAGATGGAAATACAGATCTACACAAAGGAATGACAAGTACCAGAAAGGGTCACCACATGGAGATACATATTATATCTGCACAGTTATATTTTTACACACCACACACACATATAATGAGTATTTTCTTATAATTTAATCTCATTAAGAGATGATTCTCTTTAAATAAAAGTAACAACAATGTAGTGTAGGGTTTATAATATACATAGAAGTATAATATACGACAACAATAGCATAAAGACCAGGAGAGGAGAAATAAAAACAAAAGTCAAATATACCAAGGATGTCAGAATTAAAAGATTAAAACAAGAAAAAAGCCTGGGTCCTTACCATAGTCACAGGGGACATCAAGCTCAATTGGCATAACATACCACACAAAACATTGTTCCACCTCCTACTTTGGCAAGTAGCGACTGGGATCTTAAAAGCTTGCAAGCAGCCATCTAGATGCAATGATGGGTCTCTCCTCATCCAGAGCAAATAGAAATGAAGAAAACCAAAGATTCATGGAAACAATTAGTCCTAGCCACTGGTACACCATGTGATCCACAGCTTATATGACTATGAGACCAGAAGAACTAGATGGTGCCATTGTCAACAACTCAGAGGGGGATCTATGTAGGAGATCCTGGATAGAGAGGGAGAACAATGTGGATCAAAACTCAAAATCATTTGGAAAAAAAAAAAGGGCAGGGGACCAGGTTTGCTGGTCTGATAGAGCCTGGTGGAACCACTAAGACTGTGGCCCCTAGCTGCCCTTCAGGTCTGGAATTGAACCCATACCTGTGGCTTCCAGCCAAATGAAAGACAGCATATGAGTTGAACATTTACCTGAGGCAGATATACTCCTTGGAGAGAACAACCATGGGAGAAGAAGGGCTTTTTATGCACAGGGAGACAGCTCAGGGGGCAAGAGTGCATGGAGGGATGGACATAGGGAAGAGGTAATTATCGGGAGGAAGTGGGAGGGGAGCTGTCGCATTGTGGTATATCGTAGTCAATGTCATGAGACAAAATGTACGTGAACTGCTGTATGGAAAGTGAATTTGCTCTATAAATTTTCACCCAAATCATAATATATACATATATAATAAAAGCCTGGGTCCTTGATATTAATGCAGAGCAGCTGAACCAATGTTAACAACAACTACCTTCCTCTGAACTTTTTGATATATAAGGGAGGAAAAAAAATCTACTTGGTCAAGTCTTTAATAGATTTTCCATTACTTACAATCTTAAGTATGTCTGATTGATATAATAACTATAACACAGTTAATGTGACATCAGTAAAGGACTCCAGTGAAACTGAGTAGCAATTGTCTCCAGGCTCTGCAAATTCTTACTAGAATGCTGTGAAAATGGATACTTACCCATGCTGGGTGTGGTTCCTCCCTCCAATAAACTAGAACATAATTCAATCCGACCAGCACCTGCGATAAAAGCATTGCTCAAAAATAATTTGTCCAAAATAAACTCTTACTAAATAGTAAACCCTTTACATTTTTTTTCCAAATAAAGAATAGCATCTTAGAAATTGTCTAAGAGAAATCAAATTATAAAACTAATCCAACTATATTCTGCAACCCACATTGTTACTGAGAGCCAAACTTACAGAGTTAATGCAAGCTAAACTAGTCCCTTAAAATTTGCCTATCCATAGAGAAAGAATTTAGAATAAACAAGTTGTTTATGGACTGATCATAGTGGATTGCTGACTCTTTGTTGATAAGAAAACACATAATCTGTTACCAAGAAGTCTTTATATTCTGTTAAGAAAAAGAACAAGTTACTTTTGTGTAGCTTAAATCAGGTTCATTACACAAATAAGAAAATGTTGGAAGCAAAAGAACTATCAGACTACTTGGGTCTTGTCAAAAGGTTTTAGGAACCAACTTGGAGAGGCTCCTACTGGCCAAAGATGAGACATTTGAACATCAATAAGAGCAACTACAATGGATTAAAACACATCAAATATATTACTTGCTTCAAAATAATCTGAGGTTGAGGAAAGTAAAAGCAGGACTAGAGATTCAGGGCCAGCAAACTGACCTGCAGGCCAAAGGCCCACTCACACCTTGTTTTCATTATGGCCTGCAGACTAAGTATTTTTTTTTTTTAATAACAACTTTATTGAGATATAACTCCCATACCATACATTTAAATTCACTCATTTAAAGTGTACAGTGTGTTTTATTATATTCACAGAATTGTGCAACCAACACCACTACAATTGATAGTGCGATCAAATTGGACAATTTTCATCACCCCCAAAAGGAACCCTGTACTCTTTAGCAGTCACCTCCCCTTTTCCTCACGCCCCTCGGACTCAGGCAATCTCTAATCCACTTTCTACCACCACAGATTTGCCTATTCTGGATATTTCATATAAATGGAATCATATAATATGTGGTATTCTATGACTGATCTCTTTCATTTATCATGTTCTCAAGTTCATCCATGACTTCTTTCTTTTTTATTGCCAAATTAAGGATGGTTTTACATTTTTCAAAGTATCGTCAAAAAAAAATAAATAAATAAGAGGAGTTCTGGCAAGATGGTGGACTAGGCAGAAAGACTGCACAGACTCTCTTCAACAAAGAAAAGGGAAACCAATTAACACAGACACAGAAGATAATC